TTGAATGCGTCTTTCAGAGAGTCACAATTCTGTAGTTCGGCCAATTCCATTTGGCAAATCAGATCAACAATTTCAATGTCAATAGAAAATGGGTTCTGGAAAACCTGTATTCAAGATGGACAATATTTATTGTTATGTATATGTATGGGTGTGGGTCTATACATATGTTGTATATATTATGTATGTTTCACTTTGAGAGTGGGCAACTAAATTTCATTTTTGATGTGTGCCGTTGTGCCCACAGTAAAAAAAATGACAATAAAGGTCCCTGAAAGACTCACTGTACTAAATAAATCAGTCTTCTCTGGACACATCTCTTTAGCAACAGAAAGAAGGCATTCTTTAACAAATACTCCCTCTACGAATGGTCTGCCAGTACACGCTATTAGCTTGGCAACTTGCTCGCAGTGATGAAATAGTTAGCTGCTTCTGCTTCACAAAAATATTTTGCTGAGTTGTCAATCCATTTTTCAGTTTTAATATTTTATCTTTTCTCATTTGTCCATCCAAACAATCATATTTATCTTTATGTTGAGTTTTGTAGTGTTGACGCAAATTGTATTCCTTGAAGACAGACACTGAATTCTGGCAAATCAGACGAACAGCTTTTTCCTTCTAACTGTACGAAAAAGTAATCGTAAGTCCACTGTTTTTGGAATAGCTTAAAGAGGGAAAAAAAGGAGTTTATCTCTTTCTTATTTTGTGAGCCTTTCTTACTTTGCACTTGATTCCTGTGTCTTTTAGGGTACACCGAAGGGTTTGGTGGGGAGGGGGGGGTTGCATTCTTACTACACTTAGAAGGGAGAGAGGAAGAAAGGCCAACCAGCCAGGTCTACCAACTTAGCAACTTTAAGACCTGTGGACTTCGACTCCCAGAATTCCTCAACCAGCCATGAGGGCTGAGGAATTCTGGGAGTTGAAGTCCATGAGTCATAAAAGTGCCAAGTTTGAAGACCCCTGAGCTAGCTGGTAATAATGCATATTAATAAACATGGATAAATTCATCATACATTTGTCAGTTCAAAGGGAAAGTGATTCAGCAAAGGAACAGCCACTGAAGAAATTAAAACTGGTACTTTTTCCCTTCTTTTCTACAGTTTGTAATATTTTATTAGATTATAGAACAAAAATTCAAAAGCAAATAGTAGGACACAGTGGGGAAGAAAAAGGGGGAAAACGTGAGGGGGAGAAGGGGAAAAGAACAGACTTCCTCTGTTGCAGTAGAAGCATTTAACATTGAAACTCAGCTTTTTACTTTTCCATATTATAAACTAGCCATTTCTATAACAAATGAATCTAACCAGTAAAGCCCACCCCCCCTTTTTTTAGTCAAGTTTTTGATACCTTGTTAAGCACTGGCGGTACTCAAATATTGTCATGTCCTAAAAGTGGTACAATCTGTGAAAAAGTTGAAAAGCCCTGCACTGTATCACCCACACTCCCCCGGCGGGACAGATGCAGCCCACGGGCCGTACTTTGAGAACCCTTGCATTAACCCAATGTTTCTCAACCTTGGCAACTTTAAGATGGGTGAACTTCAACTCCCAGAATTCTCCAGCCAGCTGTGGGAATTCTGGGAGTTGAAGTCCACCCATCTTAAAGTTGCCAAGAGGTTGAAAAACACGTCATTAAGCATTATAGAGCAGGTTTCTAAGTATTCCTAGCAGAACCACTAGATCAGTGATGGCGAACCTTTAGAGACCGAGTGCCCAAACTGCAACCCAAAACCCACTTATGCATCGAGTGCCAGGTGGGTGTGGCCCATTGGCTGAGTGTGGCCTATTGGGTGGGCGTGGCCCATTGGGTGGGCGTGGCTGCGGTGGTAACGGCAGACTGGGTGGGACTAAAAAGTTCAATCAATTCCAACTTTGCAAGATCTTTTTTTTCCCCGCGAGTTGAAATTGACTGAACCTTTTTTTTTTTTTTGCACACGACGGTGGAGGCCTAAAGTGAAAAGGTTTTATAAAACCCAGCTGAAGGCCTAGGACAGTGATGGCGAACCTTTTAGAGACCGAGTGCCCAAACTGCAACCAAAAACCCACTTATGCATCGTCAGGTGCTGGGTGGGTGTGGC